ATGTTCCCTAAGGGTACAGTTTGCTATCCCGGACCTGTTTTAGTTTAGGATAGGGTTGGTGAGGGAAGCAAGAATGATAAGTGCACTTATCCTTTAAGCATACGAAGCTGTGGGGGTGGGGGGAGGGGGGCTTGAAAAGCAAACCTGCAGCTGTGGCCTGCATGGAAATAGCACAGGTATGTTAGGCAGGACAGTGGCGTAGCAATAGCCATAGTGGCCCATGCGGCTGCTATGGGGGCCTGGGGGTGGAAGGGCCCCCCCCAGTAAGGATTGCAGAAGTTGCTGCTGACACTGACATTATTAATCAAGAAGTGCTGCTATCAGATGCACAGGGGGGGGGGCTATGCAGGCATCTTTTTGCTAAGCCCCATGATCTGTGGTTACGCCCCCGGGGTAGTGGTTGGTTTGTTGCAATGCCGCCGTGATTTTGGACAAGATGTCTCCAACATTAAAGGAGAACTACGGGGTCAGTGTTTTTCCCCATAGTTCTCCTCAGGGTCACGTGAGGACACAAACTAGCGTTCTCCCGTGACCCAAAGCTCATGATGATACCGCGAGCTACAGTATACTCGCGGTATACTGAGACTGCCGCAGCCGGGACGGATCCCAACATTACTTTTGAGATCCACCCAGCTGCGTGAGTGACAGCTGGCTCTGCCTATCTCCCCCGTCCGTTCCGCCAGTCAGCGCTGGAGGATCGGACAGGGGGAACCCCTGCAGGGAGCTGTGAGTGACAGTGACGGCTCTCTGCAGGGAGATGATCGAGAAGTGAGCTAGTGACGGTATGTGTTCGCTCACTTCCTGATCTATTGAGCCGATGTGTGACAGTTTCATTGTCACACGTCGGCTCAAATTATGAGGCTGAGTTCTCCTTTAAGAAGGAAGTCTGTTCCTTTAAATATTTACATTCGTCAAATTTTCTAAAAAATCCGCCATCCCGCGTTCTGATTTCCCATTCATTTTCATTGGGCTGCACGCTGACAATGGACGGCGCAGGAAGCATTCATCTGTCTATAGCTCTGAGGGCGGAAACAATCGCAGACAATTACAAAAAAGACAAAAATAGATCCGAATCAGTAGTGACTTGTTTGGGTTTTTTTCAAAATGTGTTTTTCTCAATAAGGAATTCAGAAAGCGATTCA